TCTTTGGGTAGTAGCTGGATAACCACTTGTCAGAGATGTCATTGAGAGGACTCCTGTTAATGTACAGTTTTTCGGGTATTTGAATGACTGTCCTGCAGATTCGAGATTAGACCGTTTGTCCTACTTGGCCTCAAAAGGCAGAACCAGGAGCAATTTAATTGAATAGACATTTAACAAGTACCCACTATAATCAAGGCCCTGTGCTTGGTGCTAGATGACACACATCTTGACCTTAAGGGGTTTATATTCTATGAAGAAAAGAGAAAAGCATGAACAATGAATTATTATAATACGAAGAAGAGATTCAGGCAAGGGGCCAGGAGAAATACGAACATTTGGAGATTCCTTTCCCTCTGGTGAAGGGGTCAATCAGGGAAGGCTTCATGGAGAACGAAAGTATACTGGTGTCCTAAGTAATGGGCAGAAGTTACAGAGAGGCAGATTTCAGCTTGATACAAAAATTCCTAACAATTCAAACAGTCCAAAAGCGCAATGGACTATTTTGGAAGGTAGTGAGTTTCCTGTCATGGGAAGTTGTAGAGATGACCCCTGCTTAGGTACAGGTTTGGCAAATTGGGATCTCTGGTCCCTTCTGGTTCTGAGCTTCTCTGGACCTGTGATCCCATGGTCTGAGTTTGTCAATTTCATACATGGGTTGCTAATGGCAGGTGTATCTAAAGGTCCCATACTGGGTGTCTGTGCATGAGGGAAAGACAGACAGATAATCACAGAAAGAGACAGACAGAAGAGACACACAGAGAGAAATAGAGACATAGAGACAGAGACAGACAGAGAAAGAGAGAGAGAGGCAGAGAGAGAAAGAAATAGAGAAACACAGAGAAAGAAAGAGAGAGACAGAGACAGAGACAGAGAGACAGAGAAAGAGAGAGACAAAGACAGAGAGAGCAGGAACAGAGGGATAGGTAGGAAGGTGTCCTGTCACAGAGGCAATATGAGGCAATACATGATACAATGGGGAAAAAACAATGTTGGATGTAGAGTCAGGGGGATCTGGATTCAAACCCAGGTTCTAACACTTATTGGCTGCCTGACTTTGGGCAAGTCACTTCCCCTTTCTGTACCTCATTTTCCTCATGTATAAAATGGTGACAAAAAGAGCCAAGCTCCCTCCTATGGCTTGGTGAAAAGTGCATGAATGTGGAATCAAATCCCAGTTCTGCCACTTACTAGCTGTGTGAATGTTAGTCAATCACTTAGACTCCCTGGGCCTCAGTTTCATCATTTGTAAAAAAAAAAAATCCCTAAGGTCCCTTCTATCCCTAAATTTTGGACAGGAAGTGCTTTATAAAACTTAGAGTACTAGAGAAAACATGAGTTATTATTATATATACAAGTTTTTAAAATGTTTTTCTCACACAAAGTCAATCACATGATGCAGCCAAATTCAGAGGCTGAGAGAGTGGTGGGAGAAGTGAAAACCCAGCTATAAAGCATTAAAGATTAAGTTGCTTTTAATAAGTGAGACAGTATCAGACAGTAAAGATTCATCCAAAGCAGGAGCAGTTCTATATTGATTCAGTCTTGTTTTTTTAAAAACGTATTTTATTTTTAGTTTGTAGAATAAAGTAAGCATTTCTATAATATAGTATAATAAAAAGATGATTGCATATGAAAGTGCAATTCTATTATGCACACCTTAACACTTATGCCATCTTAAAGGCTAGCCATGGAAAATATTCACAACAGCTCATAGCAAAAGCGAAAGTGACAGAAGAAGGATTTCTTGGGACCATCTAGTACTTGTCTTACATCTGGCATCTGGCCCAAGCCCCAGTCCCAGTGGGATAATAACAACAACAGAAACAACAACAAATAATGAATAATAGTGATATTTATAATTTAATATCTTGAAGATCCCTTCATTCCACTATGTGCACCTTCCCTCTACCAATGAAAATAGGAATGCCGTAGTATAGACTGTGTTTCTGAGTTTCTGTGGCTAAGAAAATTCATCCCTAGGTGACCAAACCTCCCTCCTGTCACCAAGACCAACACTTTCCATTACACCGCGCTGCCTCTCATGAGGATGCTCTCTCAGGGCCTTTCTAAATCTAAAATCCTGGTTCTATGATTCTATGAAATGAGATGAGGTATAAAAAGCCATGTAAGAATGGTAGAACCCAATTGAAATATGAATTATGATCAGCATCATCATTATAATTGTAATGATATTTTAAAAGAAAGGTCATCATGGTATCTCTGTACCACCAAGTCCTTTAGGGGACCCTCTCTCGAAGTTAAACAAGGGTTCTGATTGGGGGGGCAGTGGAAATCCGGTTTGCCTCTGGGGAGAGAAGTCTCCCCTCAGCTCGGTGGGGGTAGGGGAAGGAAAGAGAGGTAATAATAGGCTGGGAGATGAGGAGCCTTTGTAGGGAGCTGAACCCTCCTCAGGCTTGTATTTCAACACACCTCCATCATCCATGAGGGCCCAGTAAAGGCCCTGGGGAACACACCTTCCTCTAGTGTGCCAGAAAGCTCACCTCCCAGCTCAGCAGGGCTTGGAGCAGGGCCAGATGCCTGACCCAGCCCTGTTTCCATGGATTTCTACTCGCCCAGCGGCAGGCCCCTGGGCCCCTACATCAGGGCATGTAAAGAACACCGGGCCAACACAGGCCCCCTGCCAGACAGCTCTGGCTCCATCAGATAACTAAGGCTGCAGCCTCTCCCCTGCTGGCATCTTCTAGGAGCCTGGGGCCCCACCTAACCTGGCGGGGAGTTTACGTAAGTGTTTTTATGGAAAAACAGATGCACACACCAGTCCTTCCTGGGCCTGTCATGGGAGATCCAGAGAATCATAGAAAGTTAGAGGAAAAGAGACTTTGGAACACAGAATATTAGAACATAGAATATTATAGTTGGAAAGGACCTTAAGGGTTATTTAACCTAACCCCTTCATTTTATAGAAGAGGAAACTGAGTCCAAGAAATGGAAAGTGACATGCCCAAAACTGTGTAGCTAATAAATAAATGGTAGTGATGAGACTCAGACTTAACTCTCTCAATTCCAAATCCAGATCACCCTTCTCTGTTCTGCTGCCTTTCTGCTATCCTCCTGAGAGCCTTCCCTGTGGCTAGCTCCCCAGTTCCTCAGAATCAGGTCACAAATTGATCCCCTCACAATGAGAAATCTTCCAAAAAATATATCCAGAGGAGGATGACCAAAATTGTAAAAGGGACTCAAAATTATGCTGTATGAGGAATGAAGGTGAAAGGAAGTGGGATGGTCATCCCAGAGAAGAGAAGACAGGAAGGATTCCATAGCCATCTCCAAATATTCAAATAAAAATGACTCAGAAGAGAGACTTGTTCTATTTTGTCCCAGAGAGGAGAAGTGGGAGCAATGGGGGAAAGCAAGGAGACAGATGTCGGCTCAATATAAGGAAGGGTTTCCTCATAATAGAGCTCTCTCCCAAAGTGTAAAGGGCTGCCTCAGAAGATAGTGAGTACCTCCTCACTGAAAGTATTCAGGTGAAATGTGGATGGTTGTCAAAAATGTAGAAGGAGATTCCTGTTCAATATAAGCTTGACTAAGATGACTTCTGAAGAACCATCCAATTCTAATATTCTGCAGTACTATAATATCAGTTTCTTCATCTGTAAAATGAAGCAGATGGGGGCAGCTAGGTGGTGCAGTGCATACAGCACCGGCCCGGAAATCAGGAGGACCTGAGTTCAAATCCGGCCTCAGACCAAACACTTGACACTTACTAGCTGTGTGACCCTGGGCAAGTCGCTTAACCCCAGTTGCCTTAAAAAAAATGAAGCAGATGACTTAAATGGTCTCTAAAAGAACCCTGCTAGTTCTATATTCCATGATCCTTTAAACTCTGGACTTTGAACCAAACCCCATAATGGCCATAAGAAGCATTGGCCCAGGGGCAGCTAGGTGGTACAATGGATAGAGCACTGGCCCTGGAGTCAGGAGGACCTGAGTTCAAATCCAGCCTCAGACCAGACACTTGACACTTCCTAGCTGTGTGACCCTGGGCAAGTCACTTAACCCCAATTGCCTTACCAAACAAAACAAAACAAAAACAAAAACAAAAACACAAGAAGCATTGGCCCAGGGCCTCAGGAATCAGGAAAGTTGGCCTCAAGTCCTCATCCTGCCCCTCACTAGATGCATGGCCTTAGGCAAGTCACTAAATTTCCAAGGGTTTTAGATTCCTTATTGATAAACAGTGGGTAAGGTGTAGGGGGTCCTCAGTGAACTAAATGAGCTTTAAGAACTCTTCTGGTTTCAGCCTTCTATGAAAGCTTCTAAATATCTGTGCTCTAATCCAATATTCCTGTTCCTGCAATATAATGATTTTTTCTTGTTCGGGACTTTGGTTTTCCTTGGTATCAGAAATTCCTTCTATTGAGGCAAACCAACCAACATAACTCATAGACCTCCCTGGGGCAATGAAATATTAAGTGGTTGGTCCATAGTCAAATAGCTAATATCAATGACCAGACTTGAACCCAGGTTTACCTGACTCTGGTTAGCTGTCCATAATGCCTCAATCATAACTCACATTTCTATAGTATTGTAGAGATTACAAAGTACTTTCCTCACCACAACCATGCAAAGTAGGTAGTACAAATGGAATTGTCGTTAGACTTTGGTACCCAATCCCTTTTTTTTTCCTTCTCTATCCCCTGATAAACACTTTCTCCAGACCAAATAAACCCTTCCAGGGCTCAATTAAAGAAAGGAATTAGTCAATTACAGAAGAAAAAAAAACTGGTGAACAAAAAGTGTTTTGGCTCTGTCCAGTATCTTGCACAGAAACAGACTTTTAAAGGTGGTAGGGTCCTTAGAACATAGCATATTAGAACAACAAATATTAGAAACCTGAATTTTAAAGCTCTCTGCATTCTAGCTCCCACTTACCTTTCCAGATTCCTTTCATATTTAATCTTCAGAGATTCTCTGTTTCAGTTAAACTGGTTGCTTTACTGATCTATGTACATGAGAGTCCATCTCATATCTCATACCTTTGCAGAGATGGTCTCCCCCATTTCTGGAATGTTTCCTCTCCTGACCTCCAACTCTTAAAATTCTGAGTTCCTCCTTTATCATGAGGCCTCTCCTGATTCTGGTTCCCCCACCCACTTATGAGCGCTCTCTGCTTATCAAGATTACTTTGCATTACTTCATATATACTTCATGTGTCCTTGTCTGTGTACGTATTTTACCCCACCCACCCCTCAAAAGAATTTGAGCTCCTTGGGGGCACAGACTGCCTCATTTTTTGTCTTTTTATCCCCAGCTAGCACAGTTCCTTGTATATAGTAGGAGCTTAATAAATGTTTATTGGATTGAATTGAAGTCAATAGTAAAACTCTATATATTTCATATACTCAAAGGATCTATGCTCCCACTATGAAAGAAAATCCAAGCTCTTCTATAATTTAGCCTTTGGTCTCTGAAAACGGTTGTGGCCAAAATGTCCATCCCTTTGGCCCAACCCTGAGATAAGCATCTTTGTACATGCTCAGCCCTGGACAACATAGTATTCACCACACCTATGGTTTTCTGATCCATCAGTACTTTGAGGATGGGTTATTCCATTTTTGTGGGTGCCCCTCTCCAGATGTAGGTTGCAACTCCTCCATAAGTCAAGACACAATTCTGTGAGTGGCTGTGGATGAAAAAAAATATATCATCTGGAGACTGACCCTCTGTAGATGCTAGCTTGTTCTTAGGTGACATCCATAAGGTCTCATCCTGAATTCAAACCTAAAGCCTCTTCAGCTTGGTAGGATCTGCTGGAGTTTATGTTACTCCTATATAAACTTCAAGAGCACAAGGTCCCTTCCATTCCAGAAGAAGGGACACTGAATTTTTTTTTTCACTCCAAACTTAACATTAAATAAAACAAGCATTTCCATATACTAGTAGAACAGAAAGAGGATTGTATGGGAATTTGCAAATCTCTATACATGTGTCTTGCTTTTTTTAAAGCATAAAATAAAATCAAAATGTAACTTTCAAAGCCATCCTGCTGGTCTGTGATCCTTTCTGGCTTTCCTTCTATATAGGTCCCCTCTACTCAGTAAATTCCAGTGGCTCCCTATCACCTCCAGAATCAAATACGAAATGCTCTGGCATTCAAAGCCCTTCATAACTTAACCCTCTCCTACTTTTCCAGTCTTCTTACACCTTACTCCTTGCCGTGGGCTCTTCAATCCAGTGACACTGGCCTCTTGATTGTTCCACAAACAAGACATCTCTTGGTTTCAGGCATTTTCTCTGACTGTTCCCCATGCCTGGAATGCTTTCCTTCCTCCATTTCTCCTTATATTCCCCCCCAAAATTCCACCTTCTACAAGAATCCTTTTCCTATCCCTTTTCAATTCCAGTGCCTTCCCTATGTTAATTATTTCCTATTTGCCCTGTATATAGCTTGATTCCTCTATACTTGTTTGTATGTTGTCTCCCCCATTAGATTACAAGCTCCTTGAGGGCAGGGACTTTCTTTTGCCTCTTTTTGTATTCCCAGTGCTTAGCATAGTACCTGGCACATGGAGTTGGGGGTTAATACATGTTTACTGATTGTGTGATCCATAACTTATAACTTCCCTCCCCCCCATCTCTTGCTGTGTGTCTCTGTCTTTCTGTCTCTTTTTGTCTCCATCTGTCTGTTTCTGTGTCTCTGTCTCTGTGCTTGTCTGTCTTTCTGTCTGACTCTGTCTCTCTTTCTCTGTCTTTCTCACACTCTCATACTCTCTTTCTTTATCTCTCTCTGCCTCTGTCTCTCTCTTACCTCACATCCAGTCATGCTAAGTCTTATCAATTCTCACCTCCACAATATAGCCCACATTCATTCCCTTTTCTCCACTCACACTCCCACTACCCTGGTTCAAGCCTTCAACACCTCCCAACAGGACCATGGAAATAGCTTCCTAATTGGTTTCCCTTTCCAATTCCAGTTCCCTTTCCAAGTCTTTCCTTTTCCAATCCATCCTGATGCTCACAGTTGCCAAATTGAGATTTCTAAAGCACACTTCAGCCCATGTCACTCCCTTGTTCATGGGGCTCCGATAGCTTTCAATTGCCTCTAGACTAATCAATAAATACTTCTGGTTGGCTTTTTAAAGCTTTTCACAGCCTGGCTCCAGCCTACCTTTCCAGGATTCTTGTGCCTCACTCTTATTCACATTCTCCATTCTCCATCAGAACTGGCCTGATTGCTGTTTTCCATCTACTTGGTTTGATTTATTCCCTCTGTGCCTTTGCATAGGCTGTCCCTTGTGCCTTGAATGTGGCACCATCGTAACTCTACCTCTTAGAATCCCTTGCTTTTTTCAAAAATTCAACTCAACATGTGGGTAAGGATCACCCTCGATTATAATCACATTTAGGTATGAAGTCCTTTCAGGAATATTTCCCCCTCATCATCAGTTTTTCAGCTAGCTAAGTCTTCACTTGTTTTTAATTTCTTCTATTTGATGAGAAGCCCTGGTTCCCACCTCTCTCCTGAGCTCTACTTAGCTGGTTATAACAACAACAAAAATTTACATCTAATTGTTTCCATAACAACATGAATCTCAGTTCCATCTGCTTTCTGATACAGACTACATTCTTTTAAAGAAACTGTAGCCCCATCCAGGCTATAATTGTTTAAAATACTGTACAGTACTTTATGGGAGATTTAAGGGATTTTCAAGGTTGAGCTAACTTGGGGATGGAACTCTTATCCTCCTCCCCCTCTACCATGTGACTCCACTGTACATCATTGAAAATAGGATAATTCCCCTGTTGCCATCAGCACCATCACTATTCTTTTTCAGTGTCCCAGGATAGAAACCATGTCCGTTTTGACTTTTTTCCACCACCCCATCCCCTGCCCCCCTCCCCGACTCTATACAGTGCAAAAAGCACAGGATTTGGAGTTAAAGGAACTGACTTCCTAACCTGTCTTGGCCTCTTACTATCTGGCCCAGTTGTTTATCCTTTCTAGGCCTCAGCTTTCTCATCTGGAAAATAAGAGGCTTAGACTAGATGACCTCTAAGGTTCCTTCCTGCTCTAAATCTGAAATCATGTGATCATATTACCTTTGTTAGTGGCCCTTTCCCAAACTGGAGGCACTTGTGATTGAGATGGTGCCAGGCAAGGAAGTGGAAGGGGCCAGGGACATGTGTTTTTTTCCCCCTAGGAAGGTATTGGGCCCTCAAGTCACTCAACTCTAGTTGTTCAGTTGGGCTATGTGGATGATTGTTATTGTTCTAAGGTATCTCCACATAAGCTGGCCCACGCCTGTAACCCTGGGGCTGAGGGAAGAGGAAGAGAAAGAGAAAGAAGGTAACATAGGGCTCTTTGTGCTCCTGGGCCAAGCCCAGCCCTGAAACTTCTGTCCAGAGATCTGACTCTGTTCCCAGTCCCAGGATCTAGAGCTGTTTTAACCACCTGCTAAGCCCTTACCCCTTTCTCATCACTCCCAATAGGGCTGCCATATTATAGGGCCAAAGGTGAGAAGATAAGACCTCCATGAGGAAGGAGATTAACCAGATGTCAGTCCCACTTGTGAGTAGTGTTGGTGTAGTGGAAAGAATACTATTCTCTGGAGTTAGAATACCAGGGTTTGGTTTTGATGGCACAACTTATTAAGTGGTGATTTTGAAGCAGCTCTTTCAATCTCTCTGGGCTTCAGATTTCTCATCTTGAAAATGAAAGGGCTGGGCTAGATAATGGGATCTCTTCCAGCTCAAAATCCTATGATCCCATTCTTTTTTTTTCCTCTTCTAAACTCAAAGGCCACCTCTCCAAGAAACCTTCCCCAGTTCTTCCCCTCAGACCTCACATAACTCTTTTTTTTTTTTGGTACCTTTTAAATACACTTATTACTATGTAATATTGCATATTATGGCTGTCTGTGCTGGTGTCTATTTCATATCACATAGCACTTTAAACTTGTTGTGTGCCCTCATTATATTCTGTTCTGCATTGTAGTTATTGTTTATCTCTGTATCTGCTTACTGGACTATAAACTCCATGAGGGCAGGAACTATATCATTTATCTTTATATCTCTCCCAGTGCCAAGCACAGGGTTTGCGGACAGTTTGCACTTAATTGATGGCTGTTGAATAAGCTAGTAACATCAATATCAGTAGGTCACATTAGAGCTTTAAGATTTACAACAACCCTGTGAGGTTGGCAGCTCAGGCATTATAATTCCCATTTTGTAGATGAGGAAACTGAGGCTCAGAGAATGAAGCAACTTACCCAGAATGAAGATTCAAACACAGGTCTGAATGAATACTACATAGCTTTGCATGATCTTACTCTTTTCTCTTTAAATGCCAGTAAGCAGATGGAAAGATTTTTGAAGAATCTAGCTTCCATCCCAAGGTGAGGGAGAACAGAAAGAGGGCCCCGTACCTAGGACTAAACTGTAGACTGATGTTCTAGTGAAAGGAGCTGTCTACCTCTGGTCAGGGAAGCTGACAGCAATGATATTAAAAGAAAGAACACTACCAAGAGAGGTGTAGGGTAGAATAAATATCTGACAGGCCTGTGGATATCAGGTCCCTGTAATAGCCCCCCCCCAAAAAAAACCCCTACACCGAGTCCTAATGCCTTCCTGATGTAGAGCAAAGACCACTGGGCACAAAATCAGGAGACATGGATTTCAGTACTTACTAGCTGTGGGACAAATTTCTTCTCTGCACATTTTTTCTCATCTATAAAATGGGACTAATCCTTGTACTACTTACCTCATAAGATTTTCATAATACCCTTTCATAAGGAATTTTCCAAGTTGAGCTAACTTGGGGACTGAACTCTTACCCTCCTCCCCCTTTACCATGTGACTCCACTGTACATCATTGAAAATAGCATAATTTCCCTATTGCCATTAGCACTATCACCAGGAAAATACTATACAAGATGTCCTAAAAGTCTTAGTGCAGCTTTAAGCTATTAAAACTGTATAATGACTTGGGATACCTTGCATAAGTGTAATTTGTCATTATTTATCATGAAACTATTTTTTATAAACACTCTTGCCAGGTTTATGATAG